CTCTTCAAGAAGGTGCGCACGCGAGGGGAGATGATGGCGTGCGTGTGTGCCGTGTGTGCCGTGTGTGTGTCGTGTGTGTGTCGTGCGTGTGCGTGCGTGCGTGTCGTGTGTCGTGTGTGTGTCGTGTGTCGGACCAGCTGCACCGATGGCGATGACGGACACGGAGGTGGGTTGCTGTGCTGTGGAGGGTGAGTGACGTATTGACTATTTTTTATTTTTTTTATATTATTTGTTGTTGTTGTGGGTGGGGGGAGGGGGTCGTTGCAACAACAACAGGAGGAGATCACGTTCGACGTGGTGGTGGAGCTCTCCGAGGAGGACCTCATCCGCCTGGGCATCGCCGAATTCGGGAAGCGCAAGAAGCTCCTCGTCGGTACACACTTATCCACCCCACAACGCCCTCTCTCATTTCTCTTCTCTTTTCCTCCTTGACCGATTTTTTAAATTATTTTTTTTATTGTGTCGTGTGTGTCGCATGTGTCTGGTGGCTGGTGGCTGGTGGTGCTGCATCTCAGCCATCGAACAGCTGCCCAACTTCCGGGCCTCGCGCACGAAGAAGGCGGCGGCTCCGGCCAGCCTCTCGAGTTCTTCCTCACGTGTACACCCCGCCCTCTCCTTTGATCCGCACTGCTGTCCGCCCGCCCGTCTGGTGGGGCGTGATGCTGGCGGCCCCTCCTCGGCGCAACTCGTTCGTAGGTGTGACGTGTCGTTGGCCATCGGTTGGTAGGTGCAGGCGCGCGCGGATGCCGATACCGATCACACGGAGGGCAGCGACGACGACGACGGCAGCGAGCGCGCTCTCCGATTCAATGAAGAAAGCGATGACGACGACGAACTTTCGATCCAGGCCGAAGATCACTACGCCGACCTGGGGGATGGCCTCGTCCTCGAGACCGAAGAGAAGGCCTCCTCAGCCTACAGGTGCCCCTGCGCCCCATGCTGCCCCCTTGCTTGAATATGCCGACGGTGTTGTGTGTCGTTGGTCGTGTCGTGTGTCGTATCGTGTGTGTGTGTGTGTGTGTGTACTCGTGTCGTGTATGTGCCGTGCGTAGGAAGTCGAGCGAGTTCGCCAGCGGGGAGCTGGAAGAGCACGGAGACCTGTTCGATGCCACGCAGGGCGCTACCTATCGGCTCCTCAACGCCAAGGAACTCCGAATCCAGCGCCATCCCGTTGGCCGAGGCGTCTTCGGCATCGTCTATTCTGCGGGTAATGTACACATGGGCGCCGTCCCGTGTCGTGAGTCGTGGGGCCGTGTGGTTCCTGCGGATGCTTACGATCGATGTGTGTGCGAAATGATGGCTACTGGTACGGCTGGTCACAGAGTGGCGTGGTGCGCAGGTGGCTGTGAAGAAATTGGTGGGCGCCCTGGGTGAAAAGGAACTGGCCGAACTCCATCGCGAGGCGCAGCTGTTGGAGTACGCCACGCCCGGCCTCGTCGCTGTCTCGCGCATGCACGTGCCATGTGGGCGCGCGGGGCTCATGGAGCGCCACCTGCTGCACAGGAAGCTGTGCCATCACCCGCACGTGGTCAACTACCTAGGCCTGGCCAAGATCCCCGAGCTTTGCCTGGTCACGCAATTCTATCCCAAGGTACCTTATCTACCTACCTACCAACCTACCATAATAACACCAATCATAACACCAATCATAATAACGGAACCAACATCCCCCCCCCATTCCATCACGTCGCCGCCGGCGCCACGCATGCTGATGATGGCCACCATTTTTATTTTTGTTCCCCCGTCGCTCACTGCGCCTGGCAGGGGAGTCTCTACGACATCGTCATCAAGCGCAGGGAGCCCATTGGCTGGAAGACCATCGTGGGAATGGCCCGTGATGCGGCGGCGGGCATTCTGCACCTGCACTGCGAGCACGTCATCCACCGGGTATGTGTGCGCACACTGCCGCCGCCGCCACCGCAGGTCAACGAATCGGCGAGACCGCCCGAGGTGGCCCTTCCTTACTTTGGCACCACCACGGCACCACCACGCCACCACCACGCCACCACACGTGTGTCTTCCATGTACAGGACATCGCGACCCGCAACTGCCTGGTGGACGCGAACTACCGTGTGGTGGTCACCGACTTTGGCCTGAGCCGGGTCAAGACCTCGGCCTACCTCATGACCAACAACAGCTTCGGTATGTGCCGCCATGACGCTTCCCCCAATTCCACCCGCACCACCGCCGACACTCATGGATCCTCCGCCGCCGCCGCCGCCACGACGCGCCTACGTTCGTGTTCCCAGGTCCTGTCTCGTGGATGGCGCCAGGTGCGTGCCGCCGGCGCCAGTGCTTTGATCCCCCCCCCTTCCCCCATTTGGGCTTCCGCTGCTGCTTACTTTGTCCGCTCCTCCTCCACACTCTCCCCAACCAACAGAGGCTCTCATGGAGCGTAAATTCTCGGAGAAGAGCGACGCCTACAGGTGACCACCTACCACTCCCACTTGACAGCTCTGCCATGCGCGCGGCCTTTGCTCGGGGCGGGGGGCGGGGCATGTAGCCGGCTATTCTGAAGTGCTTGTGTGGCGGCTGGCGCTGCAGCTTCGGCATTTTGCTGTGGGAGCTGGCTGCGCGCAAGTCTGTGGTGTACCCGGACGAAGTATCGCCCTTCGACATCGCCACGGTGGTCATCGCCGGCAAGAGGCCCGCCATCCCGGATTCGTGCCCCAAGGTGCCGCCACCACCGCTGGCCAGCTGCTGCACGCGAACTGCCCACACGCCACCACGGTGCTGACCGCGTTCCCTCCCCCTTCTATTCTCCTCCTGCCGGCAGGAGCTGCGCGAGTTGATGCAGGCCTGCTGGGCTCCCGACCCGGGCCAGCGACCAGACTTTGTGCGGATCGAGAAGAGTCTGGCCGCCTACTATTACTCCCTCGCCGAGTGAGCCGCCAACTCACACGAGGATCCTCCTACGCGGGTGGGTTGGAGAGACTTCCGCCGCCTCATGCGAGAAGGCAGCACGACGCGAGGAGGCTCGAACGACGGCAACGATGACGATCGACGATGATGTGCGATCAAACACGTGTGTGAAGAGTCACCTGAGGACCCGATAAAAGTTAAGTTACACAGCTTCAATGTAGGGAAGGAATGAGGTAGGCTTCACGAAGCGATGGAGGAAAAGATGAGGGCCGCCACGACTACCAACGACAGAACCGCCGAGACGAGAAAGGGAAAAGGGAGGCCAGCGCCGCCCGCGTGGTCACTGTCGAAGCCAATTCCCGCCACCCTTCCCCCCCCCGAGACACGCCCATGTCCGCGTCAGTGCTCTGCTTTCGTCCATCGTCGTCGTCGTCGTCATTACGATCGACGGATGCGAGAACCGCGCAGGCGAGGGTACCAATGGATGGATGGAAAAAGCAGCTTACCACTTGCCAAAGGCGCCGGGACCCGACTTGAGGACAGCTGCGCGACCGTCCCTGGTGACGAGCTTGCCCTCGCCGTTGAGGATGACCAGCGTCGGGATCGACGAGACCTGGAACTTGGCCTTCAGCGCCGCCACCCTACGATCATTCATTATAATGAAGAATTAATTTAAGAATCAGACACACCGAAGACACGCACGCACGCACGCACGCACGCACACAGACTCCCTCAGGTGTGATGGCCGTATGAATGCCCACGACGACGACGACGACGATATGCGCGTTGGTCACGTCGCACAACGGCAGCCAGGTGCGTGCGTGCGTACCGTGGGTCACCGAAGGGAAGGGCGGGCCAGGGCATGGCGGCGTCGCGCATGTAAGCGCCCATGGCGCCAGCATCGCGATCCGAACTCACGAAGATGACCTGGAAGCCACCCTGCCCCGCCGTCTGCTGCTGCTGGAGCAGCTCATTGTAGGTGTCCACCAGCAGCGGCGTAAACCCGCGGCAGGGCGGACACCTGTAGTCCACCCCCCCCCCGTCAGCCGCAGCCTCAGCGTTGGGTCTCGAGGTGCACCTTGGCCACGTGCACTGCCACGTCTTCTTTTTCCTCTCTACAGTGCCCCCCCCCCAATGTTGTGCGCTAGTCTATCGGGGGGGGGCAAGCTGAGCGTACCAGTGGGCAGAGAAGTAGAGCCCAACGAACTGTTTGTTGGCGAGCACCTCCTGCACCGGCACCGGCGTCAACTTGCCCTCCGCCCACACCACGAGGTCCTCTTCACCCAGCAGCTCGCCCCAACCCTCTTCCGTAGACGCCATCTGTGGATTTTTTGTTTTTGGTTGGTTGTTGTTTTTTATTTTATTTTTTAATCCTTCCTTTTGCGGTGTGCGAGGAGACAGACGCGTCCCTAATAGCTGCGAGCCCCACTGCCTCCACGCTGCTGCTGGGGGGAACCTCGCCCGCTGGGGGCCGCCGCCGGGGCTCCTCCCTGCGCGCCCGCAAGGCCGACGACTGATGGCGAGCGGGGTCTGGGCTTCCTCCCCTTCCTACCGCACGGTGTTGTGTTGCCGGGTCCTTCTGCCTCTTCAGACCATTCCAGTGCACTCTATTCTTTACACACAAGGCCCCCCTTGGCACGGCCCACCACCGGGGTAGTGGCCCGTGGGCACAGAAAAGAAGAAAAGAATGGTGGCGCAAGTCGTGCACGCAGCAGTGTAAAGGTGGTCTAAAGGAGGGAGAGGGGTATTTTCTCTCACCTCCTCTTCTGTGTCGTAAGGGGGGGAGGGTGGGTGTATGTACAAAAGCCGGGCACCTAATGGTACTGTTGTGGTGTCGAGCGAAACTTGAAAGGGGGGGGTGCTCACTCGACCCAGAGCGAGTAGGTGGTGGTGGCGTCCTTGGCGGTGCCGTGGTCGGCGAGGAAGGCCTTGAAGGAGGCCTCGTCGGTGATGGCCAGCTTGGTATCGCCGCCGGAGGACTTGACGGTGCGGTGGCACAGGCGGAGCGGCTGGTGGCTCTCGATGTCGAGCTTCTTGTAGAGGAAGAGCACGAACTTGACGTAGGTGATGCCCTTGGCCGGCACCGTGAAGATCTTGCGCTTGTTGTTGCGCCAGCACTTGAACACGAGCTTGGGGCCTCCCCCGCCCAGGTCGGCGTCGCCCCGCGAGATGGCCGTGCGCGAGGGGGAGCCCGCCGCGCCGCCGCCGCCGAAGCTGGCGTCGCCCATGCTCTTGCTGCGGCCGCGCGGGGAGGCGAGGGGCAGGCCCTGTGCGGCGGAGGAGCGCCTGGTCGGGGAGAGGCCGCCGTTGGCCTTGCTACCGCCCTTCTTGGTGGCGCTGCAGCTGCTCTTCTCGCTGAGGCACGAGTCATCGGTGATGGCGAACGAGTCGTCGTCGGTGTCGGCGCCCGTGTCGTCGTCGTCGGTGATCTCCGTGGAGGTGCTCATGACGAGCGACGAGCCGGTTGTGGTGCTGGTGCCGGCCGGTCGCGTGCGCAGGTAGTCGCCGGAGCCGTAGGACTCGGCCAGGAACGAGCCCGACGAGGACATGCCGCTGGCGTCGAGCTTGTGCAGGCGGTTGGTGCGCCGCTCCACCCGCTCCCACACCTTCTCGAAGCTCTGCGCCAGCACCGGGTCGGCTCCGATCTCCCGCCGCCGCTCGTCCATGGCGTCGATCAGCCGGTAGTGTGCGATCTGCACGTAGTCCCGCTCCTCCTCGCGCTGTTCGCCGCCCATCCGCTCCTGGAACAGCCGCGTGATGGCGTCCTCGTGGGTCTGCAGGTAGCTGCACAGCCGAGACCGGTACGGCAGCAGCTTGTCGCGCTTGGCCTTCTTCACATCGGCCTTGTTCGACAGCTTGGCCGCCTGCGCACACAAAACACAACAAAAAAAAACCAGACGAGCGACAGCGCGAAGGCAGGCAGAGTGGTTGGTCGGTCGGTCGGTTGGATGTGGGGCGGGGCGGGGCGGGGCGGGGTGGATGGTTCGTACGAATATGGAGTGGGTCCACTCCCTCACGGAGGAGATGCTGTCTTTGATGCAATCGCTCAGCACTAGCATGGCATCGTCATGTTCAAACGGGTCGTTCTGCACACGCATACACACACACGCACACGCACACATGAAAAACTGGTCAACACACATCGACGGCGGCTTGTGAGGCTAGATCAGGGAGGCAATACCTCATTGGCGATGTTCTGTAGGATCTTGGCCACAAGGATGAGCTTCCGGCGGC